GAAGTTTTCCTACTTGAACAGTGGAAATTGTGAGCTAGAAGCGTTTTATGCAGGCTTCCTCTGCTTTGTACTCATCAGTTAGTTTCTTTTTCAGATCCTCAGCCAGCTACTTAGAGGAGCCCATGGTAGTTGAGTGTAATCGTAAGATTTAAAGAGTCAGAGAATTTTTACGCTCTAGAACTGTCATTTAGGTGACGATTCCTAATGACAGTTCTTGACCTGCCTAACCAGTCCTAACGTGTATAGGGTCTACAACAGTGTCCAAACATTTGCACATTTTATTGTTATTGTTATTTTTTGAAGTTATATATCCTACATTTTTCCTACATTTGTGTGGTTTTACGCACCAAAAATGGTCATAATTCTCTCTCATCTGTTAAATTAAATAGGTTATTTTTGTTGCTCTGTTTATTTTAATTTTTTTTGTTCTGCCTTAAATGGTGCAGCAGTTCTATTTCATCACCTGAATCAATTACAATGAAATGGAAAATTTAAATAAGAAATGAGAAGCTTTGTGCGATAATGTTTTGATATCCGGTGCAGTCCAATGCTTTTCCTACTGCTGTGGATTGTTAGCATTGCTAGCTGTCTAGGGATGGGTGGTATAACAGTAATAAGGCATACTGCAGTATTTAAAAATAATGTTGGTATTTCAATTTGTCAGATTTCTATTCCACATCTGAACAGACACATAAACACCTTCCACCCATTATGTTTTAGAGGGATCACTGATTGGTGGTGCAGGAGCTGACTGTTAGAAGACTGTTAGAAGACCTCCAGAAGCTAACCAGCCCTAATGTATCTTAAGTTCTAAGATTTTAAAACTGGCAAACATTTGCACATATTATATATATATATTACACACATACATATACATACATATATGTATGTGTGTGTTTGTGTGTGTACATATATATACACACACACACACACACACCAGCTACACCTTCCTGCAGGTCCTTTGTTTTCATGTGGGGGTTTTGCTTTGCCTTTCTGGCAAGCATATGAGCAGTTTTATCTACTACATTTTTCTTTTGTTTTTTTTCCACGTTTGTGTAACATTTTGCAACCCCTCTTTATCCCTTAGAACTAAACAGCCTGTGTCTTTAAGACTGGTATATGTAATTGAGCTCTGTACTGATTGGCCACCCTGTATTGTGCCTCAATCAAAAAACACTCAGAGCTGAAACACTACTTAGACCATCAGTATGAATGGGTGGGGCTAAACTGCTGTAGGCTGAAAATGCTGATATATGTAAATGAACCATATTATAGTTTCCATACATGGACCGTATGGAGTGGGGAGTGAATGGTATGCTTTGAAACCTTAGTGGTGTTTACACATTTCTTCAAACTCTTTTATTTAAAAAAGCAAGAGCGTAATCGCTTTTTGTGCATTCCCACATCCTTTCCCGTTCGAGCTGGCTCCTTGCCATGCAGTTTTTATTTGTGTTTAGTCGGAGCGCGGCTTTAGGGTTAAAGACTCCTCCTGCTGCATGCCAGCTGCACATGCTTCCTCCAGGGTGTGTGACGTCTGCTGCTGTCTTTCAAAATAAGCCCCTTGGCACTGTGGCAGGGTGTTTGTGAGCGTTAACCTCTCCACCTGCTACATGGCTGCTGAATGCAAACACTGAACCATTCAAAGGTGGATTTGCCAAAAACAAACACACAAACAAAAAAAAATCAGAACACTATCGGAGGTTCTCAGTCACAGTGGAGGTTTGGACCCCATGCACTGCACAGTTTAGTGTTTCCCCCACTCCTATTTCAGGGTCCTGATTATTTTTGGATCCCCTGTGCATTACTTTCGTCAATGACGTCGATGGGATATATTTCGGTGGAAAGTGTATTTACAAAACCGGAAGCTTACTAGATTTTTTCATGTTGTAGGTGAGTGCCAATTTTACTTTATAACAATAATAATAATATAATAATATTAAAAGCTATTTTTATGTCAATTGTACATGATTGTTTGATATGAAGAAACCCAAAATGATGCTGTCCATTTTATCTCGGCACGGCTGTCTTTGTGGAGAGGTGTGGATTGTTTTCACAGCAGATCATGTTTGTACAAGCAGCACAGCACAGCTAAACCCTACTGCAGGTCCTTTGTTGTCATGTGGGGGTTTTGCTTTGCCTTTCTGCCCAGCATATGAACAGTTTTATCTGAGAGCTTTTTTAGGCTTCCAGATCTTGCCTTGACTTCCACAGTTCCCCATAACTGCCATTTCTTGACATTTCGAACGGTGGAAATTGTGCAAGAAGTGCTTTCATATCTCTTTTAAGACGTCCCCTGCTTGTGTCCATGATTAATCTTCACTTTCAGATCATCAGCCAGCTGCTTAGAGGAGCCCATGGTTGTTGAGTGTAATCGCAAAGTTTAAAGAGTCAGAGAATTAATTTATGGTCTACACTGGTCATTAGCTGATGTTTCCTTATTACAGTTCTTGACCTGCCTTTCCAGTCCTAACATGTCTAAGGTTTACAACTGGGTGTCCAAACATTTGCACATTTTATTATTTTCATTTTTAAAAGTTGTATGTCCTACATTTTTCTTTTATGCTTGTGTGGTTCTATGCACCAAAAATGGTCGTAATTCTCTCTCTTCACCCCTTAGAATTCAATAGGCTGTTTTTGTTACTCCGCAGGTCCTTTGTTGTCATGTAGGGGTTTTGCTTTGCCTTTCTGTCAAGCATATAAGCCGTTCTATCTGAGAGCTACTTTTTTTGTATTTTGTACTTTGTTGAGAGCACTTTTGAGCACTTTTGCAACCCGTCTTTATCCCTTAGAACTAAACTGCCTGTGTCTTTAAGACTGATCTATGTAAATGAGCTCTGTTCTGATTGGCTGCCCTGTATTGTGCCTCAGTCAAAAAGCACTCAGAGCTGAAACACAGACATAATGAATTCTCAATGCAGCATAATTTCTATACATGGACTGTATGCACTGAGGAGTGAATGGTATGCTTTGAAACATTGGAAATGCTTACATATTACATATTAAGCGCCTTTATTTAAAAGAAAAATGCGAGAAATTAGGATTCATGATGATCAAATAAAAAGTAGCTATGCATCATCATGTTCTGCATGTATGTCCGTGTTCACAAACGTGAATACAACATTCCGTGAACTCCATGTGAGCCTCAGAGGAAGGCTGAGAGACGGAAACTGGACTGGGAGCAGTAATCTATGGAATTCACATGACTGCAGGATGAAGGCCTCACATGATTCCTCTGATGTATCATTTGAACCTCCAGCTGAGCGTGGCTGCGGACACTTTCGGCGCTTCGGGGAGAAGCGTTTCTTTTTTTCTTCCCTTTTTCTTTTTCCTTGTGTTTGCTGCCTTACAGATAATAAAATGGCAGGGAAATGTCAGGCATGATACTCGGCCAATTTCTTAATTACACCGCGCTGTGTCTAATTCAGAGCGAGCGCTCAGACTCGCTGCAGGAGCGGAGAGGTGTGTCTGAGACGAGAGGAGGTAGAGACAGAAACAGAGTTAGAGAAGAGTGTGTGTGTGTGTGTGTGTGTGTGTGTGTGTGTGTGTGTGTGTGTGTGTAGTTCTGTAGGTCACTTTGAACTCTGTGTGACTGCAGCCCAGCAACTCAGCTATTTAATTAATTACTCATACTCACCACTAATCTCTCTCTCTCTCTCTCTGTGTGTCTCTCTCTCTTCTCTTTCTCTCTTTTACTTCCTCTCTCACTCACTTTCTATTCTGTCTTTCACTCTTTATTCTCCCTCTTTGTTGTCTTTCTCCTCTCTTTTTCTCTCACATTCTGTTCTCTCTTCTTCTTACTCTCCCCTTCTCTCTCCCACTCTCTCTGTGTCTTTCTTTATATCTCTCTCTTTCTCCCTCCACTTCTCTCTCTCCCTCCTCTTTTTCTCTCTCTTTCACTCTCCTCTTCTCCTCTTACTCTCCCCTTCTCTTTCTGTCTTACTCTCTCTGTGTCTTTCTTGCTCTCTCCTCTCTTTGTGTCTCTCTTTCTCTCTCTTTCTCTCTCCCTCTCTCTCCACTTCTCCTCTCTCTCCCTCCTCTCTCTCTCTCTCTGTGTCTCTCTCTCTCTGTGTGTCTCTCTCTTCTCTTTCTCTCTTTTACTTCCTCTCTCACTCACTTTCTATTCTTTCACTCTTTATTCTCCCTCTTTGTTGTCTTTCTCCTCTCTTTTTCTCTCTCACATTCTGTTCTCTCTTCTTCTTACTCTCCCCTTCTCTCTCCCACTCTCTCTGTGTCTTTCTTTATATCTCTCTCTTTCTCCCTCCACTTCTCTCTCTCCCTCCTCTTTTTCTCTCTCTTTCACTCTCCTCTTCTCCTCTTACTCTCCCCTTCTCTTTCTGTCTTACTCTCTCTGTGTCTTTCTTGCTCTCTCCTCTCTTTGTGTCTCTCTTTCTCTCTCTTTCTCTCTCCCTCTCTCTCCACTTCTCCTCTCTCTCTCCCTCCTCTCTTTCTCCCTCCATTTCTCCTCTTTCTCCCTCTTTCCCTCTCTCTTTCTTTCTCCCTCCACTCCCCCCTCTATCTCTCTCTCTCTCTCTCTCTCTCTCTCTCCTGTTGTCCCTCCACTTCCCCTCTCTCTCTATCTATCTCTATCTCTCTCTCTCTCTCTCTCTCCTTTTCTCCCTCCACTTTCCTTCTCTCCCCCTCCTCTCTATCTTTTCTTTCTTTCTCCCTCCACTTCTCCTCTCTCTCTCTGTCTCTCTCTCTCTCTCTCCCCTTCTCCTTTCTCTCTCCCTCCTCTCCTCCTCTCCTCCTCTCTCCCTGTCTCTCTTTCTCTTTCTCCCTCCACTTCCCCCTTTCTCTCCCTCTTCCCTCTCTTTTCTCTCTCTCCCTCCACTTCTCCCCTCTCTCTCTCCCTCTTTCTCTCTCTCTCCCAACAAGTATCTACATAATGTAAGTTAAACAGAATATATAACGATAAAGAAAAAATGTCAATTAAAAATGAATCTCTCTCTCTCTCTCTCTCTCTCTCTCTCTCTCTCTCTCTCTCTCTCTCTCTCTCTCAGCTGGTGTTGTTTTCGGGTAAACTGAACACTATAGCGAGTATAGTGACTATATTCTTCCTGCTGGTGTACGCGGCGGTGGACCTGGCCTGTCTGGCTCTGGAGTGGGCCTCCGCTCCCAACTTCAGGTAAGCTGAACATCATGACCTTTTAACCTTCTACACCGCTGTATATATTTAACCCACACAACTATATATGCTGTGATACCAGCTGGAGTTTGAAAACACTGTGTTCACTCACTGTCCTCTCTGTTAGACACACTTGGTCCAGACTTGTAGGTGTAAAGTCAGAGACAGTAACTCATCTGTTTCTGTGTTGGTCATCCTGTAGTCCTTCGTCAGTGGTCAAGCTGGATATGATCCATCACTAAATAATACCTACTCTGTGGTGGTCCTGTGGGGGATGAATGGGGTAAAGGGGGGCTAACAAATTATTTAGATGGACTACAGTCTGTACCAAATTGCACCTACAGTTGTGTGCAAAAGTTTGAACACCCCCAATCATACTATGTTATGTTTTGTGACAGTAAGTTAACACATCTTCTACAGGGAAAACACTCAAATATGGCATTTTTCTGAATTTTTTTATTTAAAAATTGAGGAAAAGATAAAGTATGATATGTTAAATGTGCTATAACTTTTATTTTTTATTTTTTTCCCCACTATGTTAAGTTTAGCAAATAAACAGTGTGCATGAGTAAGTAAACATTTATTTATATAGCACTTTTCCAAGACACTACTGTGACGATGCAACAGAATTCAGACGCTCGCGGATGAAAAATGTAAACAGGGTTTTATTCACGTTCGACAAAGACGTGGTCAAAAAACATGCGCGGGTCGTAACCAGAAAGCAGCAAAATATCACCGAAGTGATCATAACCAAATGCAAACAAAACCAAGACAGTGAACAGAGATCGTCGTCAAAAACCAGGCCAAAAAGTCAAAACGCAGATCCAAAAACAGTCAGCAAAGGTACAAGGAGGGACAGGCAAAAATCACGGTCAGTTGAACAAAACGGAGGTCATAACAGGCAGTCGCAGATAGATCAGAGAAACGCTCAGCCAGTTCAAATAGAAACAGTACCTTGTAAAGACTAAGACTAAAGCCTGGGCTTATAAACTATACAGGATGAGTCATATGACAACAAACACAGGTGCGTGTACTTAGTACTCAGGTGATTGTGAGCACTGATAGGTACGTGCACGACCATCCAAAGTCATATGATCTCCCGAGGGATTGTGTGTGTGTGTGTGTGTGTGTGTGTGTGTGGCATGATTTTCTCTGTGGTTCTTTATGGATTTGAAAGCTGGACAGTAAACAAGCAAGACACGAAAGTGTAGATGACTTAGGACTCTGATGTTAGAGAAGACTTCTATGAGTACCTTGGACAGCAAAGGAAACAAACGAATGGATCCTAAATCAAATCAAGCCTCGCATCTCACTCAAAACCCAGATAGCCAAACTGAAGCTCTTACTTTGGACATATTCGGAGAAGAACCGATTAATTGGAACAGAGCGTTGTGCTTGGAAGAGCTGAAGGTAAAAGAGGACGACAAGCGACAAGATGAATGGATGGACGCAATCAGAGGAATCCTGAACCAGCCATTGAGAAGCCTGAAGACCCAAACAGAAGACGGGGTACTCTGGAGAAACACTATCTGTATGGTCACCATGAGTTGGAAACGACTTGAGGGCACTTAATAATATAACATTTAGCCAAAAAAAACCGAATATCCGAATCTCAAAATTAAAAATCGAGTACCTACCCAACGACCGAATATCCGAATAGTTGAATATTCAGGTCCAGGCTTGCATGCCAGCCCACAGATTTCACAGACTTCTATCAAGAAATCTGCCATTGACTTTTGATTGAACTCAGTATTGTAGCAGTTCCAGTTCTCTTGTTCAAGCCAGGAGTTGTTGTGTTGTCTGTATTGCAGAGGTACTTTTATAATTACGAGGCCTGATAATGGAACGAAATGAAGGTTAAATGAAGCACAAACATCAAAGTCAGCATTTCTTTATGTACCCCCAGCATCATTTGAGTACTCCAGTTTGGGAACCGCTGTGGTAAGTGGACCTGATGAAGTGGAAGAGGAAAAGAGGGTAGATACAGAACAACAAAAGTTACCTAATCAAGTGGCCAGTTTACCAAAAAATGGCCACATACTTTATTAAATATTACAATAATCAGTTAGAATCAGTTAGAATTCTAACATTGCAGTTGAAGTACTGCTTTGTCTGTCATCGCTGCCCAAACCAAATATATCTCAGTATGTGCTGATGAACTAGTAAAGACTAAAAATATAATATAAATGAAAACAGACTTACTTTGCTCTGCTTTAAGCTTTAGCTCAGCTATAGCTGCTTTTCTCACATCTCCGGCAGGAAACTTTTCCTCAAAAGTAGAACAGTTTCTTATAAAATGTCTCTAAACGTTCGACTTTTTACGAGGCTCAAGTCGCTTCTCATTTGCCAGCTTCTTGTTCGAATTTTCCAGTTCCACCTTAAATATTGCCAGAATGTTACTGCTGCATAAAGGTCATAAAGGTTAAGCAAGTGTGTGCATGAGAATGACAGAGAGTTTTCATAGCCCTCCGCTTATTGGCTCATGTGATCCCAGTGGCCTGTGATTGGTTGGAAGTGTGGAGGCGGCAGGGCCTCCGCTGAGTAATTCTTTTAGCTGTCAGTCGCCTGGTGTCGGGGCGTGTTTTGTTGTTGTTATTTGTTGTTTTTCTGTTGTTGTGTCTGCGCGAGAGGCGAGAGGAATTAAAAGCCATTTAGCGTCGGGGTCCCCGGAGACGCACACTGTGATTAACATAGCTAATTTAGCAGAAACCACCCAAACCTGCCATCAACAAGCTGGGCGGGGGGATTATAATGGAGCGAGGGTTTTGTGTGTGTGTGTGTGTGTTTTTGTTTGCAATCGATGGGGAATCACGCAACGGAGAAGGCGTTTCGTGAGTGTGTTAGGATTGAACGGAGGTTTTAAAAGGTGGATTATGCATTTGTGTGTGTGTGTGTGTGTGGTGTGTGTGTGGTGTGTGTGTGTGTGTGTGGTGTGTGTGTGGTGTGTGTGTGTGTGTGTGGTGTGTGTGTGTGTGCGTGTAGGGGGATTTTTCTTGGCTGCTGTTTTATCAGCAAATGGCTTTGGTTTCCCAGAGTTGTCCTTTGGGGTAGACTTGGCTGGGCTTTGCTGCATTAAAAGGAACGTGTGTGAGTGTGTGTGCGCTCTAGGGGGCTGTTGAGGTCTGAGGGGAAATGAGGCACTGATACGGGGGGGTGGGGGGGGGCGGTTATCGAGAGTTTGTCTACTACAATCCCAGCTGCCTTTGCAGCTGTTAGTTTCAGCACTAGTTGAAGGGCACCTCAAATTCGAGTTTGGAAAAACACTGTCACTGGGGCAGGACCCCTCACGTCACTGGGGTGGTACTGGTAGCAGGCATTGTACCAGTTGCAGGTCCTCCTATAGCAGGGGTCTCAACGCAAATGTTAAGAAGAGCCATTTTGTCTTTTTTCAACAAAAATCTAACCATCTTGGGAGCCACAACATTTCATGCCCATTTTACCATCTTGGCTGTAAATATGTCTCAATATGTACTACTAACTTATGCAAACAAATGTAATATAATCGAAATCGCAGACTTATTTTGCTCTGCTTTAAGCTTTAGCTGAGCTATAGATGCTTTTCTCGCATCTCCAGCAGGAAACATTTCCTCAGAAGTAGAATAGTTTCATGTAAAATTTCTCTCAGCGTTCAACTTTTACGAGGCTGAAGTCGCTTCTCATTCAGCAGATTCTTGTTCGCCAGCTTCAATTTCCCACTCCACCTTAAATGGTAGCTGAGGCGCCAGAATTTAACGGGTGGAACGGGATTTTCTAAAGATATATGACATGGCGTATCTATTGCAACATAAACAACCTCATAGTTTTCTCTCCCGTTTTAAGCTTTTATTTTCTGGCAGTAGTCGGGCTTTGTATCTGTGTGAAATATTGATGGTCTACAGATCAAAATCTATTGTGTTTGGTGGTGGGTTCATGTTGCTGCTTTAGCTTAGCGCAGTATAGTTTGCATGGTGCATGTGCATGTGCATATTCAAGTTGGTGCGCGGTGTGCAATTCAAGTCGTTTTTACATTCTCACAAGGACTTTTTTTGAAACAATTCCTTAATTTTTAATATTATTAAGAATATCCGGATATATGCGGATGAGTTCTGTGATTTGTCATATCCGTTGCATCAGTAAGACCTCAAATAAGCACAGATTACACAACATCCAAACCTTGGAAACTGCACTAATGTTAACCCGTTTAGCTGAATGGCTGATACAGGGATGGTTTAGTCATGTTTCAGATGAAAATGAAAACGCAGCAGACCCTCAACCACCTCCCGCTGTCTAGTCCATATCAGATGTAGCAGAAATTTTAGAAATTGACTTGTGGCAAAGGTGGCATCCTATGACAGTGCCATGTTTAAAGTCGCTGATCTCTCATGCCAGTGTGTTGTCCATATACTTTTGGCCATGTAGTGTATATTTTGTATATATTCAGTTTTCATGTTTAGTTAGTTATTTCTTTTTTATTACACCAGGATAAGACTTTTTTCTTCAGGGTCCAACATGCTATTTAAACTCACAAAAAGATCACTGCTGTTGGAACAAAACTTCTCCAAAACAATAACTTCATAGGAGAAGGAATACTTTACTTTTAATGCAAGTCAATGGATCGAGACTTTGTTCAAAGTAATTTTCTTACTTTTGGCCACATCAAACAGGTCTTCATTTCCAAATTTCCACAAATGCAGCTGCTTCACTTTCCTTTAGACTCGAGCGCTGCTAACTTATTGACTCTTGTGTGCTCTAAGCTGGCAGTCCGAAGCCTCTCCAGAATACATTACACGTTGTTTCTATTGTTTTTATACTGAGCTGCGCTGGGACAAAGCCCAATGACTGATTGAGGAGCTGGAATGAGGTTGATTCAAAGCACAAGATTGAATGCATAAGCCTGAATGGGCCAAAGCACACTCTGCAGACTTGATGCAGTAGTTCTTTATAGGCTCCGCTATGCTGTGCAAGGATGCGGAGAGCTTTACTCAAGATGAAGTGGCCAGTTGGGAACCTAAGATGACTGG